ATTTAACTGGCGACGACATATTTATTAAACAAATATTTAGAATCTAGTTAGGTTAAGCAACCATATTACAATATATAACTAAAATTAATATCATAGATGATAAAAAAGCTAATATGTATTTAGCAACAATAATATATTTTAGATTACTTTTCATAAGATTGAAATATTAATTTCAAAAAGATCATATATATAATGTTTTTTTATAATATAAAAAGTCTGGTTCTCAGATTATCTTTATGAAAACTAAGAAATTGCCCTTGTGCTGCCCTGCAAAAAAAAAAAAAAATATCTATTAATATAATTATTTATATAAAATAATAATTAGTTTCTCATTGCCAAATTTAATTGTAATCATGACAATGTAATTCAAACCAATGGCATTCCATCTGCACTAGCAAATAATTAATCAATACTGCGTAATGATATCTGAAAACTTTCAGATGATATTGCAGATATTATAAATGATGCTCAATTTTGGATAATATTAACTAATCTACAGAACTTTTTGTATCCTCTTTGTAGTTTTTTGAACAAATTGCAAAAAGATATGGCTTGACTATATGAAGTTTTTCACTGTTTTGAGTATATTATGAAAATGTTTGAAAACCATCAGAATTTTGAGTTCGGAATAAAAATAAAAAGACATATTGAATCACATTGGAATGAATAGGAACAACTACTATTACTACTTTCTCTTGTGCTATATCTTCAATATAAACTTATCAAATTTAACATTATGGTTGCTAATTTTTCTTAGACTCATATTGGGCAATGGCTCAAGTATTATTATAAAGTGTGGTTTAATTTTAAACCAACCTCTATTTTATCTAAATTAATACAATATAAAAGGAGAAATGATCTATAAGATATTGGTTCATTTGTATAATTTAATGGAAATTTAGTAGATTTTTAGAAATCAACTAAAGGAATAGGCTCAGAATTAGCTCAAGTGGCAATTCTTATTCATAGCATCTGTGTTAACTCTGCATCTGTAGAATGTTTGTAGTCTTCAATAGAATTATTACATACTAATCATCAAAACCAGCTGCAGGTTTGATTAATAACAATATATTTTTTTATCTATACTGTTTAGTAACTATAGGCAAATTTGTTTGGGTGAAGATATCTAATAAGTCATATTTTTATCATCATCATTACATATTATACAAGTATACTAAATATTTATTAGCACTTTTCTTGTAATATAGGCATGTAATTTATGAATAATTTTTACTAAAATGCACCTATGATAATTTATATCTATACATATATTATTTTAAAAACTGGCTAATTAATTGGTAAAGAGTGTTTTAGATAGAAATGTTTTACATCCTAAAAACCTATCCTAAGCCCTAATTATTACTCTAATACTAACTCTAGTGTAAAAAATTTGTATTAAAATTTTATATACAGAACTTATAAAAATTTAAAAATTTTTATAAAATATAATAAAAACATATAATAGGTACAAAATTACTATAGGTGCATTTTATAATAAACATTTCTGAATAACTCCAGAAAAAGTGCATTTGTTCAATATTTTACAGGCAAATTTGCCTATAATACAAGATAATTAATAATCTATCTTATTTATTTTTATTTATTGCAATTGGTATTATAGCCAAAAAAGGTTTTAGCAATGAGCAAAATTTGGAGTGATATTCTTTATTCTTGCAAAGTTAAAAATACAAAAGAATATAATAATTGTATTCATCATTTATATATTGCAACACCCATATCATCAGATGATGAATCTGTTGAAGAAGAATTAACTGTTACTGATTTGAATTGTCAAATGAATGATAATGAATACGAAGGTAATGTTGAGGAAGAAGCTACCAGGTTCAGTAATGCTAAAGAAGCAGATACCAGGTCCAGTAATGTTGAGAAAGCAGCTACTAGGTCTAGTAATATTGAGGAAACAGCTGCTAGGTCTAGTAATGTTGAGGAAGCAGCCACCAGGTTCAGGAATTGGACTAATAAAAATTTTGAAGATGAATATTTAGTCACAGAAGAAGAACAACAATGGGAAAATACAATTAATGAATGGATAGAACTTGAAGAATATGAAAACCAATTTGAAGACCAAGGTAATGAAATTTTATTAACAAATAATTGGAACACTGATTTTGGTTTTGGGAGACGAGAAAAACATCCAGTTGATGATGAGACAGCAAAATGGCCTTTAGATTCACTTTTCATTTCTTCTTTAGAAGTGCCACAGTATTTTGACTCAGAAGTTACTTCATTATTAAAAATATAAACTTAAGGCATTTATATCTGCTGAAATAAGAATATATATACATATATATATACATATAAGTCATCTGAGGGTGTGGCGACCTAGTGAAGTGGATAGGTTGTCAACCCTAAGTGGCAGGTCTAGAGTTCAAATCCCAGTGACAGCGAAAATTTGCAATTCTTTCTGTGTTATGGCTAACTGTCT